AGGGAGACAAAGAAGCATGCCCCAAATAAAAGAACAAGAGATATCTTCAGAAAGAAAAAAAAACCTAAATGAAGTGGAGACAAGCAATCCATTATACATAGAGTTCAAAGCAATGGTTATAAGAATGCTCAATGATTGGTGTTTCAGGGTTCTTAGGTTATCCCAGCAGTGGAATTGCCAGGTCAAAAGGCAGATCCATTTTTAGTTTTCTGAGGAAATTCCATACTGTTTTCCACAGTGGCTGCACTGGTCTGCATTCCCACCAACAGTGCATCAGGGTTTGCTTTTCTCCACAACCTTCCCAACACTTGTTTTTTATTGATTTGTGTGTGTGTGTGTGTGTGTGTGTGTGTGTGTGTGTGAATGTTGGAGGAACTTAAAGGAAGATTTGATAAAATTAGTGAAAACTTAAACACAGAGATAACAAGTATGAAATAGGACATAGAAACCATAAAAAGACTCAGAAATGAAGACTACATTACAAGGAATAAACAGTCAGTTGGATGAAGCAAAGGACTGAATTCATGATTTGGAATCAAAGTAGCAGAAAACAGCCAATTAGAGCAGCAAAAAGAAAGAATTTAAGGAAATGAGAATAGTTTAAGGGGCCTTTGGGACAACATGAAGCATGACAACATCCGTACAATGGGGGCACCATAAGGAGAAGAAAGAGGGCAAGGATGAAGAAACTATTGGAAGAAATAATGACTGAAAACTTCCCTAACCTTGTGAAGGAAAAAGACACACAATTCCAGGAAGCCCATAGAGTCCAAAATAAGATGATTCCAAAGAGGCCCACACCAACACACATCATAATTAAAATGCCAAAGGTTAAAGACAAAGAGAGGGTTTTAAAAGCAGCAGGAGAAAGACAACACAAGGGAGCTCCCATATGACTATCAGCTGATTTGTCAACAGAGACATTTCAGATGAGAAGGGACTGACACATAATATTCAAAATGATGAAAAGCAAGAACATACAACCAAGACTACTCTACCCAGCAAAGCTATCATTTAAAATTGAAGGAGAAATAAAGTGCTTTCCAGATAAGAAAAAGCTAAAGGATTTCATTACACCAAATAAGTATTAGAAGAACTCTTAAAAGGTCTTCTTTAATAAAAAGAAAAAATAGAAACATATTTAAAGACTAAAATGACAATGAATGCATACTTATCAATAATCACTTTAAATATAAATGGCTTAAATGCTCCAAGCAAAAGACACAGGGTAGCTGAATGCATAAGAAAACAAGACCCATATATAAGCTGTCTACAAGAGACCCACCTCAGAATGAAACATACACATACATTAAAAGTAAAGATATGAAAAAAATATTTCATGCAAATAGAATATTTTTAAAAAGCTAAGGTATCAATATGTATATCTGACAAAATAGACTTTAAAACAAAGGATATAGTAAGGGACAAAGAAGATCACTAAATAATAATAAAAGGTAAAATCCAACAAGAGCATATAACTCTTATAAACATTTGTGCACCCAAAATAGGAGCACCTAAATATGAAAGCAAATCTTCCTGTGCATATTATTAATTGCTGCTTTCATGCAATAACAGCAGAGTGGTTGTGATAGAGCTCATAATGCCCTGCAAAGCCACATGATCTGGCCCTTCCCACATGTCACTGGCATTCTGCTAGGATGATGTGAGGACTAGGTGGCAGAGCAGAGCACCCAAGTTAGGTTTGTCCACAGTAGCCTTGTGCACTTGGAAGCCTTGTGTGGCAGCTCTCAGCACCAAGATCTTCCTAATGAACAAGGTAGAGCTTTATGGCCTATCATGACCTAGCCTCAGGTCACTTAGCTCCACTTCACCCTACCCTCGTGGTGGAAGCAGTAACCAACCCACCCTCATGGGGGGTGGGGCCAGAGCCCCTACCTGTTTTCTATTTTACTATTGATTTACTGATTTTTGCAGAGGAAGGGATAGAGAGAGAGACAAACAGACAGACAGACATTGATTTGTTTTCCATGTATTTATGCATTCATTGGTTGATTCTTGCATGTGCCTGACCCGGGATAGAACCTGCAAACTTGGTGTATAGGGATGATGCTCTAACCAACTGAGCTACCCAGCTGGGGCCAGTGCCTCTACCACTTGGTGATGGATGTGTCAAAGAATTTGAAGCTATGTTTTAAAACTTCCACAAATACCAAAACTTAGCTAAAATGTGGGATATCAGTTCTACTGTATTAATTTCATACTTGACATGCATCTAAATGACACTTTAGTTTGATGTCCTAATTATTCACATGATAAAAATGAGAAGGTAAATGTGAGCAAAAAAAACAAAAACAAAAAAAGAAAAAACATCAGGCCCTTGTTATACTACTATTTTCGTGCTTGTAGGACCTCTGCCCCCAAAGGCTATATTTGTTCAACTTCAGCAGGGTCATACCAACCTAGAACTCAGCCAGGATGCCCCCCATGTCTCTGGAATCTGCTAGGACTCCACGTAATATTGTTAATTTCTAACCTAAAGAGGGACTGTCCAACCTGCAGCAGGGGTCACCCAGGGGCTCAAGAAGATGACACCCAATGATTCAAGTGCAGATGGGTTTGTGCCCCCAATTAAGTGGCATTGTTATCACAATCCAGCATGTTGAACATACCAGTGACAGGATTCAAGACTTGTAATTGCAAGCCCCATGAGCACATGTGAAATGTGTAAAGTCTCAGTCCTCGATGACCCCATTATAAACCCACATCCTATCTCTCTTTGTTTTCCTACCACCCCAGCCCTCTTGCCCCTTCCAGCCTTGTCCCTAGCTCTGGCTTGTAATTTGCTCCCCCCTCCATGCCTCCAGTCTCCTAGGTGGACCCCCAATTCAGAGCTGGCCTCTACCCATCCATTCTGTTGTAGTGCAGACTGTCTGATATTCAGACACATGCCTTGGCCCCAGGATACTCTGTGAAGGACAGTGTGCTGAGAAATGGCTTCCTCCCAGCTTCAGGGCTAGAGGGCCCTGCGTTCACTTATCATCCCACAGAGACTAAATGAGCACGTGCTGCTTTCAGATATAAGACATATCTCTGAGCCAATTCATGGTGCTTCCATCAGGGCCTCGAGTGCCAGTCAAGGCCTGGACCACTTTGGTCCTCAGCCACCCATGAGCTATGGCATGGCCCTCCAGTCACAGCACTCTGGTGTTCCTCTGCTGAACCGTGGCTCCCTCACTCACATGCCCTCCTGCTCCAAGCCTAGAGGTGGGGTTCTCCTCACTACCTAACATTCTCTGTCCCTCCTCCCCAATGTTTCTGCCTTTGAACTTTGCACTCTCAGACCATACCAGCCCTGCTTGCTGTGGTTATCCACAGACCCCTAGGACTCTCTCTAGTTCTTTGATGATTTCCTTACTTATATCCCTGGCACCCCCTTCATACTATCTTTGTCGTCGCCTTGGCTCAATACCATATAATGACCTTCAGACACTACAGATTCTAAGTCTCTTGAGCTCTCATCCTCCATTTAGTGTGTGAGCAACATGATGGAAAAGAAGTGCCAAGTTCTTACAACTGGCTGGGGGTCTGGGATGGTGCTTATAAGAGAGTCAACTCAATGCCCCAAACTCAAGGAAGCACAAGCGATGGTAGTTTCCTGGGCAAGGCAGATGGTGCCTGGAAGAGACCCCATTCAGCATGCTAGACCATGGACTGGGAGGGCAGGTGGATGTCTCTGTTGCAGGTAAGGTGGCCCATTTAGAATATGGAATTAAACTCAGTGTGCACTGCACTTGTGCGACCAAGGGCCAGTTTAACAGGAATGCATGCTGCCTGCAGTTTGTAACAGGAAAAGGATACAATAGAGCAACAGCAGTAAAGTAAGAATATTCACCACAATTAAAAGTTATTTGATGGTAATGGGTCCGGAGAGGCTGGGGGCTGGGTTCTTTGCCCTCCCTTCTGTAAAGGATAAGGCTGAATACATTTTCTCTCTTGGATCAGAAGCCACCTGACACACTTCAGAACCAGAGCCCAAAATGGGGGCTTAGCTGGAGATGTTTATATTTTTCTGCTCATCTGTACATATTCCCAAGGCAGCCTGAACTATCACCTTGATTGCACTAACCTTCACCTCATCCTATATACATAATATAATGTAATATAATGTAATACATTACATTACATTACATACAATACATTACATATAATGTAATATACATTACCTCATCACCATTTGCCTCTTTCTCTGCCTTACCTTTTGTTCAGAGCACCCAGCACCTCTTGACTTCACATTATGTATCTATGTGCTGGCTGACTTGACTCTTCTGCAAACATGCCATCATCACAAGGTCTTTTGGTTGTCCACTGCACTTCTAGAGCCTGGCCCATAGGAGGCGCTCAATACATACCTGTTGAAGGAGCAAAGGCGTGAATTCTCTTAAGCCAATCTACAAAGTTAATGAGATTCCAATCAAAATTCCAAGAGAACTTGATGAAATGATTCAAAATTCATACATACTTAAATTTAGAATATGTGTATTTTTTTGAAACAGAAAATATTTGCATGAAGACATTCAAAAAAATTGAATAAATGTTCAGAAGAACCTATATAATAATGACCATCCCACAATTATTCATAAAGCAGAAAACAAAGTAATTTAAGTCCATTAACTAGCACTAAGTTATATAATGTATGACATAGAAGGAGAATAGATACTAGAAGATATTATTTTTCAAAAGTATTTTTAGTATTAGAAGTAGAATATGTTATCAAACAGAAATATAACATCAGATCATTTACAAATACAGGTAAGTGCATATTTACATATATGCCTAGCATATCTGAAAGGATATACACAAAGATATGTATAATTATTTCCAATTTAGGATATGATAATAACTTATTTTAAACCTCTTTGCTACCTATAATCACAAATTATTTTCATAATAAAAATCTATTTTTATTATGAAAAAGGAAAACTAGAATCTAGTACAATTTCTTTATTGTAAGGATGAAGAAATCTCAAGATTTAAATTGTATCGCTTCTCAGCCTTTTGGCTAAGATCAAGTGTAGTATCTGTTCTTATCAGTTTAAATTGCGAAAGTGTGTGTGTGTATTTAATACTGAAGGTGGGGGTAAGGAAGTTTCCCAGTATAATCCACCTGGAAACATCAGCAGGTTTGGTGTTGCCTAAAAGTTGGGAGTTGTTTTAATATTTTTCTTAACCAAGTTGTACATGTAAAAATAAATCCCATGCCTAGCTATCAAACTGCATTGTGGTTGGACACTCAGTTCAGAAGTAAATACACTGAACTAACTGCATCACAGAACACTAACGCAGCAAAATACAGTGCACAAGTATGTCAATTTGTTCTGCTTTCATTCACACACACACTGTCTTGTTTCTTTGCAGGTCTATCTGCTTTGTCCATTTATTTCTCAGCACCATTTTAGGACTGTCAATTGCCTTGCTCTTTGTTAACTATTTTATATTTATTTCTATTTCTATTGTATTCAAACTCATCAGTTCATTTGTTAAGCTACTTGCTATTCTGTTTTTATGTTTTTTTTCTCTTTAAAATCTTGTTCTTACACCAGTGAAGGAAAAAAATCTATTTTAATGTTATATAAAAAGTCACAACTTCCTAATTATGTTTAAGTTCTTAAAGTTTTTCAATATTTGTATTAAACATTTTACTCTGTTTCTTTTACCTTACCTTTAAACTTTACCTTTCCTTCTTTTAGTTTTCCCCCTTCCCTTTATTACCTTAGCATGTAGTGTATCTCAGAGGACCTGCCTCTGGTTCAGTTCTATCATTTTTTAAAATATAAGTTCCATTTCATTTTTTTCCAGAAAACTTTTCTTAAATCCTTAAGGACTCAGCTCCTCAGATGGGTTTGGTGGTGGTCATGGGGCAGCACCCATGTGTCTAAACAGAATGGGGGTGTGTGGTCCTTCCAGGTTTCCCAAGAGGGATTCCTGATGACCTTCCTGCGAGTGGCACAACTCACACCGTCAGGTAGCTTCACATACCATTTGGGAAGCACATAGGTGTCGAAGACACTTGTTTTGGGAATGTTCCCAACAGCTCCTGCCTCTAGAATGTTTCAATGATGAACTCCTTAATGGGCTTGTCCTTGGGCAGGAACTGGGCACAGCAGGTGCAGCGAATAGGCTGCACATGGCCGTGGCCTTCCTTTGGCACAACCTTGTTCCATCTTTCCTTGGTCACATTGGAGCAAGGATCTGAGGGCACATTCCATCATTACTATCTTCCTAGTTTCTTATCATCCAAACAAGCATTAAAGGGGTTCCTACTCATTCTGTGGAAATGTACACACATCCTGCAAAATGTATGGTGCTTATTGTGCTATTCTTAAAAAGAATATTTTCTATTGTCCAGCAAACTTTTACCTAAGAGCTAATAGTTTCTATGAAGAGAGATTTTGTATCCAAACATGTTTTCAATGAGGACAAAGTTCATGAGTATGCAAGGACAATAATGAATCACTTCTACTTCTGCATCAATCCTTCAGTGACTTCATTTTGCCTCAGAATAGAGTTCAAAATGTTTAAAATGAGTTCTTGGCCTTGAATGTCCTGCAGACCAACTTGGACCAGGGCTCCAGCTGGCAGGACAGGGTGTAACTACAGGACAGAGAGGCACCTGTGAGCTCCCAGGAGCCACACCTCAGGTGTCCTTCCCGTGTCAGGTGCCCCAGGAGATGCTACAGCACAAGATCTGGGGCTGAGCAGGGAGCCACAGACACAGGTTCTCTGGACTGGCCAGCAGGGGAGTCCACTCCCACCCTTGCCCACATCCTGCCCAGCCTCACCTCTCCTTCTCGCTGAGCCGCTCCAGGGCCCAGAACCAGGCCCCGAATCGCTCCTTGGGCTCTATGCTGTAGAGCTGAGCAGCCTGCTGCAGGAGCATGATCTCCTCCAACACTTTGAGTTCCTGGGGCCCGAGGGAGGGGGAGGATGCAGACAGTGGCAGAGCTGGGGGTGAGGGTGGGGCAGGGGACTGTTCCTGGGCCTTTGCACACATAGCGCCCTCCTCCCCCGAATTCCACCCAGGCCCTGCCTGTGCTCACAGATGGGCATCGCCAGCCCCTCCTGCTGGAAGTTATCCTTGATGCCATCCTTGATGCCATCCTGCTACCCCCAGCCACCAACTAGAGGGGTCTCCCACTTCTATTCTCAGATTCTCCCAGTAAATGTCAGATGCAGGGGATGGAGCCCAGCCGTGTGCTGGCCAGGGCGTCTCTCACTGCCTCTCCCCTCCCCTGCCCCACAGGGAGTGTCACAGCTACTCACCTTCCTCTTCTTTGCTAAAATTTTCACATGTCCCTGGAAGGCAGACAGCCAAAGTCCATCAGAAAGAGTCCCCCAGCCATGACCACCCCCATGCCCATACTTTCTCAGGTGAAACTAGGTCAGGTCCCAGGAGGACCTGAATTTTGAGCTTTTATTTGGAAGGCAAAGGATATCAAGAAAAAAAGAACCAAAAAGGGTTGATGTCTTCATCAAGATCTAGTAAATGTGCCCTGCCTGGTGTGGCTCAGTTCGCTGGGGCATAATCCTGTAAACTGAGAGGTCACAGGTTGGGTCTCCAGTGGGCGGAAGGGGGAGGCATGTGAGAGGCAGCCAATCAGTGTTCCTCTCTCACTCCCTCCCTTCCTCTCTCTAAAAATATCAAGGTGAGGACAAAGGAATAAAAAATAGTTTGAAAGGTGTAGTAAATGCCTGCACCATAAATACGAGGAGTTTCTTAATCTGGAAGTGACACAGCAGTTGTGGGATACCTTTGAAAGCCAAGTTTTCAGCATAACTGCAATAATCCACCCACAGGTTACTTCCAGCAAAGGTCCAAAAGTGCATACAAAAGCTACCCTTATTGGAGCCATGACTGGGAATCTCTTTGAAAAATATCCAGTTCTGCTGCCTTCATAAAGATGATAGATGTGGATTTAGTAACAGTTCTCTAAAAATGGAAATGAAAGGACAACTTTGAGAGATGAAGTTGTGCCCAACTGTTGCCCCTCGGAAATGAAGGGCATCTGAGAAATAGACGTGAAGGGGCAGAGGGCGTGTCAACTTCACTTTGGGTTTCAGGCTTCTCCCAGGGTTGGCTGTTCGTGTGTTTGTATTTGCCTCCCATTGCAGCTCATGAGCAGGAAGCTCAGCGGCATCAGAGGATTTGTCCGAAGTAAAGTGAGGCCACTAACTCTTCTGTTGTCACAAACCATCACAATGCACAAAGTATAGCATGATTTCAGCACAAGTGACCTTTTCACTGGGATGACCCAGCATCTCTGAGGAGGCAATGACTGGAAAGGTCACAGCCCTAAATGTGGCAGCACTGTTCTCACTGCACTACAGCAGGGACCGACTGGAAATGAGGTGACAACAGTGCGCATCCCAGCTAAGGGTTAGTGGCAGTGAGAGCATTAGGCTCTGGGCTGCATCATTGTCATCATAGGGCTTTTATCTCTCCTGCCCTTCAGCTTGTCTCCCTCTAAGAAGGAGCTGCCACCCATGCCAGAGGAGGAGTACAAAGGACCTTAACTGTCTACCAGTAATCACTGCCCTCTGCCAACCAGAGGGAAAAAAAAATTCCTATTGAATTGAAACAGAATGATTGTCCTTCCTGTACTATCCTAAGAAGTTAGCATTGTGAAAAGGAGCCGCCCTCTAAGATTTGATTCCCCCGACCCAGCCACAGTGCAAACGCCGCTAATCCACAGGCACCCGCACAAAGCCCTTGGACGGGAGTCTGGGGAGGTGAGGCTCCTTCTGTCACAGCTGCAACTCTCTCACTCAGGGTTTGACTGGTGCCAAAAGCAGCCTGTAATGCTTTACTATGAGACACAAGAAATCATGGACTTCTAAGCCCTCTTCTGTCCCCTCTATTTTCATCAGCTGCTTCCTGGAAGGTCAACTGAGGCAACAGAAGGAAAAGAATGACTTTCAACTGTCCTATTGGAAAACAGCGGTTTTGGTAAAAGTTGAATGATGGGAGCTTGAAAATGACTGTAACAAGCTTAGACATCATCGTGGGTGTGGCTGTCCCCCATCCTTTCTCCTGCCAAGAAGCTGTGCTACTTCCATCTACCCCATCGCAGAGAAGCCAGCATCTCCTCAACCCTCCTCCTCTCCCAGGTGAGAAGGGGGCCTGTCTGGGGCCTGCCCGGCCTCTCCACCCAGGCCTCATCACTCAGCCGCGCCCCCCACTTCTGTCCTCGGCCAAGTGCTCCCACCATAGCCATGATCGGTACACCTCACAGCAATCAAGTCAGAGTGTCCGTCTGGCTGGACTCCGTCTGGCTTGACTGGAGTCTGCCCTAAAAATGTCATTCCACTGGAAGGGCACTGGCTGGTACTTAGGGAGGCAGTCATAATTTCACGCGTAGACCCTTCTGCTTTTTTTTGTTACTATGCAATAGAACTAGCATTTATGCCACAGTCCTTACTGCACACAGAGGTTGTGCCATCTCTGTTGATAAAATGGGGAGCACCTGACATTCTGACACACTGACGTACCTCCGGTTCCAGCACAGATTGCTATTCAGTCAACACTCACTGAATATGTCCATGGTTAATTTTATGTAGCTATGGCACCCAGACATGTGGTCAAACACCCACCTGGATGTTGCTGTGAAAGGTATTTTTTAGATGAGATTAATATTTATATCTGGAGCTTAAAGGAGAAATCAGGGCTGCCTTCAGGGATGGGGGTGCCCTCAGGACCCCTGCCCTCTTCTCCCAGCTAGTGTGCCCCTCCCCTAGTCACACTGCAGGGGTCGGGGACAGGGTCGTCCTTACATTCTCAGTGAGCAGCAGAAGTGAGCTTCTGAGTGACCTGCCAGTGGGCAGTATGCTCTGGTGGAAAGAAGGCAGATTGAAGGCTGCTTTAAACAAACTCAACTTTCTCATTTGTGGAAGGGTAATAGTCATATTAGCCACCTCCGTAATATACATCTCTCCAACTGGACTCCTAAATTCCAGGTGCCCATTGGCTCCCTTGCCATCTACCAAACTCTGTCTGATGCCTTGGCCAACTCTCAGGGCCCTGCAAACATGGCCGTGACTCTCCAGTCCAGCTCCCCCTTACACCTCGCCCCTACACACCCCTACAAGCATTCATGTTCCAGGGCCTTGAGTGAGTCACAATCCCTGAAAGTTGTCACATTGTGCTTCATCTCTTGTTATCTTTCTCCATCTGGAACT